CTCCCAAGCCAAGAGCTGTATGAAGGGAGACCTCTAAGAGGGTCGCTCCGGGAGAGTGGGAGGTCTGCATGAAGGCAAAGTTGGCATCCAATTTTACTGCCTGGGCTCTTGTGGAGCTGCACAGATCCACAGGCCCACTCTGGACCACCCTGGAGCCTTGGGAACTGTTGGTAAGAGAATTCTTGGGCGAGCTTGACGAATAGTCCTTGAGGGATGTGTTGTGTCTGAACCTGGAGTCTGGTGCCCCCTTGTGGTCTACAGATATCTGAACCTGAGAGGTTCAAAAGGTACTGAGGGGTAGTTTGCCTGGAAAACAAATGGGAGCATCACTCCCACCTTGATTCCGTGAGCTCACAGCTTCTGAGTTTGGAAAGGCTCCACAGGAAGGATCACAGGGCTTACTTAGCCGCTTTTCGCGAGGCCCCAGAGGAGTCAGAACCAAGTGAAATTCAACACTGTCGCCTCAGAAAAATGGACCACCTCAGTGCTTAGAGACCCTTCACCTAACCCAGCAAATCAGAGCATCACACCTGGAAAAAGAGCATTTTCACAGGAAGATTTCTCTCTCCCTTCTCTCGTCCTCCCCACCCCCAGACCAGAAGATACAATATTGAAATTGTAATTGGGACTGTCAGCTTGACCAACCCAGAGACCCCAGCAAGTCATGAGATCCACCCAAGGTGTCATTAAAGGATGGGAAAAGGGACTTGGTGCTGCGTGGTTGAAAGCAGTAATGGGGAAAAATAAAATGGTTTCACCTGTATAGTCTACCACTGAGTTGAGACCCATCAATGCATCAGTTCCATGTACCCAGGCACAAGGCATAGACTTCGGAAGAAGACAGAAAGGGAACTGAAAAATCAACCGTGCCACTTAATAGCTTTATTGCCTCAGGCAAGGCCTATCTGAGCCTGTTTCTCCACTTGCAAGTAAGGATAATAATACCTAATGGACATTATGACTAGGTTATTAAAAGGATTAGAGGCAGTGTATATAAATGAATAGAAGCTACTATTTATTGATGCATGTGTTGACACATAGAGAGAGGGGCTCCTCGGAGTTTCCCATGACAAAGACAAAAAGAATTAGTAAAGTAGAAATAAAAATAAGGAGTGAGGAATGCTGAAGTGCTAACCATAAATGTAAACGCAGCAATTTAAGCTACAAATTTGGTTTTGGGTTTCCCAACAGCTGACGCACAAAGAGAAACCTCAGAACTTGCACAACTACAGTTATCAGAAAGGAGAAAGGATGCCTTCTCAGGAAAGACAAAGCTTTTCCTGGTTCCAAATTTCAAAAGCAACATCTCAGAAGTTTTTCTGCATTGGCTTGTAAATTACCTGAAACCTTAACTATTCTTTACCAAGGGGTTCTAAAGCTTTAGAACTATGATGTGTAATTGAGACTGGGACAAATTATTGAAGGTGAGTGACCTAGATCTCTGTACTCCGAATCACAATGGTATTCTGCAACAATTACTCTCCTATAATTCTTTAAATTCTCTCAGTTGAGCTTTCCCTGCTACATTCATTGTGAGATCACCCAAAGGACAATTAGACTCACCCCTTCCACCTCAAATAAATGTTTTTATTTCCAACTCATGCGGAAGCTTCAGACTGAGGACAGATTTAAATAAAAGTATAGATATATTTTTAGATGAAACAGCTACATTCAAAAGGCTCTTCTCTTACCCAGATGTAATTCTGGCCTACATTGCAAAAAAGCCTCTCCCTTCAAAGGCCACAGTCGCCTTTCAGGGGCATTGGCACATGAAGTAAACAGCCTTTGCAAAACAGTACTATAGGTGAGCTCTCCCTCCCCAACTGCAGAGGCACCTCCACTAATCTGCATATGCTAACGTGGGTTTCCAGGGAAGTTGCCAAAATAAGCTCCTGTCCTCCCTCACCTTTACTTTAATCCCCACATAGGTTTTGCTTTTACCATATGGTAATTATTTCCAAACCACAAGTGCAAACACTCACTCTGATTGGAAAATTAGCAGATTTCAAACTCAGGTAATTTGTCCCTAATGAGGAACTTGTTGAACTGAATTTAACAATTAACTCGCACACCCTTTGCTGCCTGCAGCTATGGCAGTGAAGCAAGGGAAGACAGAAGGGCTAGACGAGGGCTGGGGCCTGGACTTTGTGTACAAGATAAAGGTTGGGATGAGGGGAAAGTATGTTAATGGGGCTGTAGAACCATCAGGAACCTGACTGTTTAAATGAATATAATATCTATGAATTCACATGTAAATGAATTTCAAACATATGCCAAAGTAGAATAGTATAATGAGTCTCCATACATCCATCAACCAGCTCCCACAGTTATCAACTGATGACTGATCAAGTTTCACTTCTGCAGAAGGAGCTAGAGACCCAGAAGATGCACAGGAAGGAGGTGCAAAAGGAAAAGGAAAAGTGCGATGCCTCTCCTCTCTCCCACTCTCTCAGGTTCCAAGCACTTTAGGGTAGATACAGGTTGGTGAGTTGACTACTGGGAAAATGAGTGTCCTCGTAGGTATTTTGCATATGGCTGTGCAGAGCCTGGTAAAAGACTGACCTTTTCCACCCTCCTTGCTCCATGGCTGGAGCCACCTGATCTTCACCTGCAGGTCCTGGCCCAGGTGACCATAGGCCATGAGGATTACAAGAAGCTCCAGCCCGGTACATGCAATCAGCATCATATATATAACTCCACCTGTGTGCCTCAAACCCAGGTCACGCCTCATGCTCTGTCCCCAGAATCTGCTTTGCTCCTGTCCCTCTAGAACTGTGCTGACCCGCATGATAGCCACTAGCCATACATTTTTCAAGTTAAACACTTGCAATACAACTAGTGAGACTGAGGAACTAATTTTAAATTTTATATACTTTTAATTAATTTAAATTTTAAAACCCGTATGTAACTCAATTATGGGGAAAATTCCAAGTATGTTTGGAAAGTGAATCTACATTTTCAACTGGAAGGTTTATAAAAATCTAAATACAGGACAAATATTTCTGATGAAAATTTGGTATATGAATTGAGAGTCTCTGGAGTTGGAAGTCTTATGTAAAATGTCTCATTGAGAATTTAAAAATATTGATAATATAGGAATGATATTTGAGATATATTTGGTTACACAGAATTTATTAAAAGTAATGTCCCATTTCTTTTTATTTTAAAAAATGTGGCTAGTAGAGAATTTAAAATTATATATGGGTCTCATATTATACTTCTATTGAATAGCACTGCTCTAGGGCTGGGGTCCTCTCTTCACTTGCAATTATCCTAAAGGAATATAATCCTGTTCCCAAATTCCCACCCTGTGACAAAGGCTCAATTCTGCCTGACATGCCCTATTGTGCTGGGCCTACCTGGATTTTCCTGGATGCTCACCTGCAGGCCTACTTCTCTGCAAACTGTCAGAACATTCTAGGGACTACTGCTTACACAAAACCACTTCATCATTCTGCTGTTAAGCCCTGAAGGTGAAACTTGCAGAGAACTAATTTGAATTTGTCCTGGGATAGCATCCAGGTTCTCATGATACTAAAATAAAGAAAAAGTTTACTCATAAATTGCAGCCAGCTAATGTTTTCAAAAGGTACCCTGTATCAAAGTACCAAGTAGCTGGGGATCATTAAAAGGAAATCAACACAGATTGCCAAACAGTCATCTGAAACAAAGCTGAATTTATTTGCCTGCCTAGGAAGAAAGAGCCACATCACTTAAGCACAAGTTTAGCTAGTGGCTCCATGTAGTACTTGAAAGGACCAGATAGAGAACAAAGGAAGGAAGTAGAACAAATCTGATGATACTCTCTTTCCAAAACATTTTCATCACAGTTCAGGTCTCTGGCTGGCACCCAAAGCTAAGCAGGAACTCTTCTTTGCAACCAGCTGTTGCCCTGGTTCGCTTCTTAGAAGTGCAAACACCATTCCCAATTATGCCCAGGATGATCTGATAGACTTGCTGTCACTCAGAAAATTCAACATGCTTGCTTGAAGTTGGCCAGATCTTTCTTTAACAGCATCAGTAGCCTGTTAGTTACAGGGTTTGTCAAGTAAAATTAACCAGTTACCTGTCTCTTCACGGATGTCTTTTGAAATTGCCAGATCAAGCTTCCTTTCATTTAGTTAAGGCAAAAGGCAGAGAAACATACCTGTGTACTTACAAAAACAAATATTATATAAACAGGGAACCCTTCAACGGTGTAACAGAGCAAAATTTAAGAGGCACTAAAACCAATACTTGTACACAAATGTTAACAGCAGCCCTATGCACGACAGGCAAAAGGCAGAAAAAAATCAACTGTCCGTCACTGGATGAATGAACAAAACATGTTACATACAAACAATGGAATGTCATTAAATCACAGAAAGGGTTGAAATAGCAACACCTTTTACAACATGGATGAACTTCAAAAACATTATGCTGAGTGAAACAGGTCAGACATAAATGACCACATACTGTATGACGACATTTACAGGAAGTATTTAGGTAAATCCATAGAAACAGAAAGCAAACTGGTGGTTGCCGGAGGCTAGGGGTGTGAAGATGACAAGCTAGTGCTTAATGTACGGAGATTCTTGGTGGGTGATGAACTTGTTTCCGAACAGAAGGGGTAGTTGTACAACATCATGAATATACTAAATGCCACTTTACAATTGTACTTTAAATGGTTGGTTTAAATGGTTCTGTGATTACTCCTTGGTTGTTAGGAAAAAGAAAGACAAAACAAAAGGGCAAAGAAGTTCATGGTTCTTTGAGTCTCCCTGGAACAAGGAAAAAAATGAGGGAGCAGGAACTGCTGAACAACTGATGAGGAAGAATAAAGAGAAAAAAGACAGAGAAAGAAGGGGATTCTACTTAAGAAACAAGGTACAAATATTTGAAAAGCTAACAAATAAAATGGATTTTCAAATGTTTTGCTATTAACTTCTTACAAACAACCTACAAAAAATGTAAATGATTTTATAGAGAGAGAATACAAGACATCCAAGAAGAGCCTTTTCAAGGCCAGTGAGAGAACGTGGCTCTGGGGGGTACTAGGCACAGACAGGGCCTTTGAAAGGGCAGGGGACTGTCACACAAGCAGATCTGCCACCAATTCCATTCCACAGCTTTGGAGGTCTCCAATGTACTCAATCGCAGTGTGACAAGCATCACTGTATTGTACTTTCTTTTCATTTCATTTTTCGAAATGAATGTGTAATAATTTCATTTCCTATATTGTGCATAAAACTGTTAATCTGATGGAATTGATAGAATATTAATAGAATGGAATTCTTCTGAAAGAGGGTTCTCAGAGTTCATAGGTCACTTTCATATATATTATATAGTGAGACCATTTTTAAAAAGCAATGACCTTCATGTCACATGAGACAGCCGGGATAAATCATGAGGACGTTATGCCAAGTGAGATAAGCCGCTCACCAAATGACAAATGCCATATGATTCCACTTGCATGAAGTGGCCAGGGTAGTGAACTCATAGAGATAGAAAGTAGAACAATGGCTGCCAGGGACTGGGTGAGGGAAAACGGGGAGTTGGTTGGTGTTCAATGGGCATGAGTTTCAGTGTTGCAAGATGAAGGTCTGGAGATCCACAACACAATGGGGGTGTATTTAATACTACTGAACCATGCACTTAAAAATAGCCAAATTGGGCCATTTTAGATTGCTATGTTTTTACCCCCATTAAAAAAATTTAAATCCCACTCTTCTTGTTAAAATAGTAACTTAAAATTAAAATCTTGTTAAAATACTAACTTAAACATTGTTGGCATTGCCATTTTATGGCTGTAGAGAAATTATACATTTCACAAGTTTAAACTCAACCCGGTTGGGAATTGGACACTTTAAAACACTATATTAAAAATAATTATATCAACAGCAGCAACAACAACCAAAGGAGTAACTTAAGCAAAACAATGCTCCTTTAGGAAATCACTTTCCTGTTTCTATATCAAAATCAGTGGACTGTGCTTCTGTGTCAAGTGTGAACCTTAAAATGTAAAATACTGACACATGAAAAAACCAAAACTCAAGTAAAAACTGGGAATTCATTTGGGTCAGTGCTCCACTGCTTTTAAAAGAGAGATAAACTACCACAAGCCTCAGGGTGCTGGAGGGGTTGTCTTGCCTCCCTTCCTCTGACCCACAGACTGGCTCCCTGCTTGCCTACCTGGATGTGGCTGCACTACTGGAATAGCACCTGTTGCCAAAAACAGTGGCTGCTGCAGGACTCTCAACTGCTGCGTCTGCGGCTGCGGCTGTGGTTGTGGTTGAGGCTTTGGTGGCTGTGGCTGTGGCTGCGGTTGAGGCTTTGGTGGCTGTGGCTGTGGCTGTGGCTGCAGCGGCTTCAGCTGCTGCCTCAAGACAGGGGGGAGCTGGGCCTTCTGCTGAGGAACCCGGGCAGAGTCAAGCACAGCCGACACAGCTGCTTGGGGCTGGGGCTGCAGACCACTTCTGGCTCCAGTGAGGTTCACGTTAAGAAGTTGCTGAGCAGGGAAGGCCTGCCCTTGAGTGCCCAAACCTTGTGTGGAACCCCGTGGTCCTGGCTGAGGAGGGTGAGCAGCTCTGGGCTGCTGCAGGAAAAGCAGCTGACCAGGCTGATCCTGTGAGCCACTCAGAACCACAGAGCCCTGCAGAATCTGGAGGTGAGTCACAGGCCTGAGACCTTTAGGAGTATTTAGGAGAAACTGAACAGGTGCTGGAGAAGATGCCTGTACTGCACCAGGCCTTGCATCTGGTAGTGAAACTCCTGAGGACTGACGGCCCCTCCCACTGTTTCTTGCAGGAGCCGGGCCACCAGAGCCAGGGTCCTGCACAGGCTTGGAACTGCTCCCCAAAGCCTGGGCTCCGTGGACTGGGCCCACCACATTGATGGCCTTTAGGCCAGTGGAGCCTGTCCTGACTGGAATGGCTGGGGCTATTTTTGCAAATCTGGTTGGGGGCTGTACAGTTGGAGGGGGCCTGATAACGTGAATCATATGCACAGAGGACTTCTGAGAATTACTTGGTGCTGCAGAAGCAGGAGGAGCAGTAGCAGAAGGAGGAGCAGGGGGAGCGGGAGGAGCGGGAGGAGCGGGACCAGCGGGACCAGCCGGACCAGCGGGACCAGCGGGAGGAGGAGGAGGGGGAGGAGGAGGAGGAGGAGGAGGAGGAGCAGGAGGAGGAGGAGAAGGAGGAGGAGGAGGAGGAGGAGCAGAAGGAGGAAGAGGAGAAGGAGGCGCAGGAGCAGCGGCAGCAGCAGTGGCAGCAGCAGGAAATGGACGCTTAAGAGACCTGCCTGCCTGTTGTGGGGGAAAACTGTTATCCCAGGAACTCTTTCCTGAGCTTGAGGGAAGTTGGGTGTAGGGAGGTGGATGTTTCTCTCCCTTCCCCAATACTGAAGCCTGGACCCACACAGGCTTAGGCTGTTCTGGTGCTTTCCCTGAAGAGAGCTGACTGACACTGGCTGGGCCACTGGAGCTGAATGACATCTTGTCTGGACCTTTGACTTTGCTCTGCACTGATTCCTGGGCCCAACTCACTGCCCTCCCAGCATCAGCCTCTGGCTCAAGCCTGAGACCAGCTGAATAGTCACCTGGCAAGGGCTGGCAGGGAGACTTCTGGCCCTTCTGCCTGGCTTTTTTACGTGGCCGTATTTCACCACTGAGAAACGGATCATTAAACGACTGCATCACGCTCGGCTTGGTGTCCCAGGCCTGACAGCCAGCTTCCCATCCAAATCCGAAAGGGTCTTCTACCTCCTGGGCTGGCCAGATTGGAAACGGGGGGTCAGCAGCTGTTACAAACTGACTCCCTTTAGCAAGCTGCTCCACATCCACTTCAGAAGGCATGGCCAAATCACAGGGTATACTTTTCCACATGTCTACACAACCTCCTGCTTTAGCAATGTCCAGCTCACAAGGCTGACCCGCTTTTTTTTCTTCTTTTTGGCCAGAAATTGACACTGTTAGCTCAGGAGGGGGTGGATAGTCAGAATGCTCCTGCTGAGGCTTTACAGAGGGCCATGAATACCTCTTGAGGCACCGTTTCATCCGGTCGGTATTCATCTTTTGCCTGTTGTACAGCAGCCTGTTTTCAGTGCAGGCAACTGCTACAGAAGGATCAAGACACAGTGGTTCAGCTGTCACTAAGGTCAGTTGTCTCTCAAGCTCAAGTTTGTCCTCCTGGCTCCATTTCCGGCTATCTCCTGTCATTGACTTCACATCATGGGCCAAAGTCTGCATCGTTGGGCGTAGGAGAATATGCCTACTTTGGTAACCAGGGGGTTGCATATTACTGGACTGCCTGTAGTCACGGACTTCTACTATGACACATCCACTATGAAAAATGTTAACTGAAGCTTTATCCAGGACATCAGCCAAAGCAGGGGGTAATTCTTCTGCATCCAAATAGTTGAGCAATGCCGTTTCATCATAAGGCAGTCGAATGGTCTCTGCAAAGGACCCGTCTTTTCTCTGGAGCATCACAGAATACCCCTGCTTGCCTGGGTATAGATTGACCACTAAACACGGCAAGGAATCTCTCCTAACAAGCTTTTCTAACAAATTTACATTGCTTCTCAATTCCTGAACATCCTCAGGCTCTTTTCCACATTCCTCAACATAAATGTCATAAAGTTTTTCCTGTAGAGTTTTTCCCGCCCTAGGTGAGTATCTCCTGCTAGGAGGTCTCTGTTGGGCACTTTCAATGATATTCTCTGCGCGATCCAGAGCCTGTTCTAAATCGCGATCCATTGTAACAGAAAACAGAGGCCCTAAAAGGAGAGAAAACGCATGTGTGTTGGTGAAGCGGGGTGGCTGTCGCGGCTGTCATATTAATCTACAGGCCCACAAGACGCCGCCAAGTCCACACTGAGTCCCGCAAGATGCCACAAGTCCACACTGACTTCAACATGGGTACCTGCCCAGAAACCCGCCCCCAGGGAAGAGCTACAGACCACTGTTTGGGGGTTTCTAAAAACATCGGTACCTGAAGGGTCGTCGTCACGGCCGGCTGGGGCTTCGTGTCTCTGCCTGCTGGACCGGAAGTGAACCTGAGGGCCGGGGTCAGCGCCTGGGCCCGTATGTGCGCATGCGCACTCGCCGCACACCGCTGGTTCCCGCTCTACTGCCTCTGTGGCCTCCTGGGCGCGAGGCTCACCCGCCGAACTTCCGGTTCTGCGGCCCGCACTTACATTCGACTACTTGCCATTTTACTTCGAAAGCGTACGTGCAAAAGCACAAGTCACCAACAACAGTACAGAGGCATCATTCTTACCGTTCATAGACATCAGTTTCCACAGGAATGCCACTGCCGGGAAAGTCACAGAAAGTTGTCACCGCTCTTGGTGGAAACTTCAAGAATTGTTGGCTCTTTTGGAATCTCTTGCCATCAGTGGCAGGGCTGCTGCTGGTAATCATCAGCCACCGGGCCGCCTAATGAGCCCGCAGTAGCAGTGCTTCCGTGCAGAGACGTCACAGGTTTGTGGCAAGCGTCAGGATTCTTCGTGTTGTCGTCCGGTGAGCTCCCGCCTGGGGGTGTTCACTTAGATGCACACAGAACGTGACGTTCGTTTACATACCACTCACCTTTTATTTCCCTATGTGTTGATTAGGGACTTGCACATTAAAAAGTTACGTGGTGGGTCATTACAGCGTCTATGGGTTACAGTTCAGGATGGTAGAGAGACATGAAACCATTCATTTCTCCAAGGTGATTTGCATCTGAGAAGGATGAGAACAGTTGCTCCAGGTGATGGCAATAAATTTTCAATGATTACAGTAAACTGTAGACCTTAACTAAAGTCCTTATGACGGATTTGCAGGGCTATCATTCAGTCTCTGGTCATTTATGGGACATTGTTTTCCATTAATTTTGTTGCCTTGAAATCTGCCAGTCTTTTTGGACAGGTCTTAAAAGAATGTCTTGATGATCTAGATATTGTGATAATATGATATTCATGGTAAAATCTCATTAATGAGAAGAATCTATGATAAATTGGTGAAACTACTGAATTCAGACTAAAATAATTTTTACCAATAGCAATTATGATTATTATGTATTGTGATTGATAAGTTGGATTTGAAAACTCCTTGACTAAGAGTTTCTTTAAAATGATGCTTAGGAATAAACAGGAATAATTTTCTGCCAGCATATCAATGACTTTTGGGCTAATGTATACCTCTGACCTGCCTCAAGGGGCTTAGAACTAGGTCAGTTTCCCTGTCTCTCTTTTTTAAAAATTTCCATATGCCCCAAATTAAGCTAATTGTAATGACTGAAAAACTGATTAAATAATATTTCAGTATCCATTAACTGTTGCCTTGAAATTTCGCAGTTTGTTTTGTTTGTTTTATTGGACAAGATCAATAATGCGTTTCTGGTGAGAACTACTCCATAGCCTTGTTTTTCCGATCCATGAGCGTGATATAAATTCTGCCCCTTCCTCAGCTGACATCCCAGGGTGCATCTCACTTATTAGAGTGGCATATCTGCCTGCCCTGCCATGGGATGGACTCAATCTTCAGCTGGTGAATTGTCTGTGTTTTCAGTTGGGTTTCCCCAAAAGCATTCCCAGAGGAGGGAATTTGAGTGGGAGTAGTTTCTTTGGGTGCTAATCCTGAGAAGCACTGGTGACAGAAAAGGGAGCTGAGTCAGGAATGAGTAAAAAGACAATGAAAGCTGTATTTCTGAGTACAAGCAGCTCTGGAATACTGGTCCATGCTGGGAACCTTGGAAGACAGTACAGAATAAGCCTCAGATTGTTTTGTCCTAGAGGCAAGGAAGCTGGGGTTTTTATTCTTCCACTTCTTTCTCACTGACTGAGGCCAGTCCTGGGAGTGTTATTCCCTGACACTTCTGGTTGCCACATACAAGGGCCATTCATGCTGATGTGGCTCGAGGATGCTCTCAGATAGTCACAGGTGCTTGCAGTTAAGACTCTGTGTGTACAGAATGGCGAGTGGCAAAGGGAGATGGACAAGGAACCAGCAGCATTTGCTGCATTTAGGACTGAAGTGGGAATAATCAGCCATTCATTCTTAATTATGTAAATAATGTGCTATGTAACACATCTGGGCATATGGAGAAGTGAAATTGTATCCCATCCAAGTGAAATGGGCAATATCATGTAAGGTTTTTTTCAGGTATTAAAGCCAACAAGACCAAAAATGGAGATGTGACTCACTCTTGACTCCCCAGAGGGAAGACCCCAAGGCTACCTGGGCCACAGGTACACTGGAAGAGACTGTGAACCTGTGTGTGTGTGTGTGTGTGTGTGTGTGTGTATGCATGCACACACTGGTGCATATGCACCCCAACATGCATTAGTGGGCCTGGCACTGCTTATCATGTCTTGGCCATCCCCTTCACTTGAGCTGTCTAATTGCCTTGTTTTTACACAATATGATGTTTTTAGAAAAAATTACTCTGTGTACACACCATCCTTTGAGCCTTCCAAGCACCTTAATGAGCACTCTGGTTCATTAAAAGATCTCCAACTGCAGCCCTCCCCTGTAGCAACTCAGCAGAAATGCACATGCTAAGAAAGCTTATGGCCAGACTAACCTTTGCTAGAGGAATAAGAGAATTTGATTAATTGCAAATAATTGACCTAATTTTCAATTAGTAAATTTCTTTTTTTTTTTTTTTTTGAGACAGGGTCTTGCTCTGTCGCCCAGGCTGGAGTGCAATCATGGCTCACTGCAGCCTCGACCTGCCAGCTTCCACCTTCTTGGCTCAATTAATTTGCCTGCCTCAGCCTCCTGAGTAGATGGGACTACAGGTATGCACCACCATGCCCAGCTATTTTTTTTTTTTTTAGAGATGGGGTTTTGCTAGGCTGCCCAGGCCGGTCTCCAACTCCTGGGCTCAAGCAATCCTCCCTCCTCAGCCTCCCAAAGTGCTGGGTTTACAGGTGAGCCACCACACTTGGCCTAATTTCCTTTTTCTGTACCCATTCAGGGTCAAGCATAAACTTTAAAAAATTAAATATAAGACACACAGAGTAAAATTCACTTTTGTCAGTGTATAGTTCTGTGAGTATTGAAAAATATGTATAATCATGCAACCACCACTGTAATCAAGTTATAGACTGTTCCATCTTGCAAAACAAAATTTCATCATGTATCTTTGGAGTCAACTTCTTTCCCCACCCAGAATCCCTGGCAAGTGGTTATCTTTCTTCTGTGCATATAGATTTGCCTTACCAGAAGGGCATATAAATGAAAGTCATATAAATGGAATCATAATGTATATAGCCTTTGTGACTGGCTTTCTTCACATACCTATATTTAAGATTCATCCAAGGCCGGGTACAGTGGCTCACATCTATATTTCCAGCACTTTGGGAGGCTGAGGCATATGGAACACTTGAGCCCAGGAGTTCAAGGCAGCCTGGACAACATAGTGAGACCTCATCTCTATAAAAAATCAACAAATTAGCTGGGTGTGGTGGTACACTCCTGTGATCCCAGCTACTCAGGGGGCTGAGATGGGAGAATTGCTTGTGCTGGGGAGGTCAAAGCTGCAGTGAGCCGTATCACACCACTACACTCCAGACTGGGTGACAGAGCAAGACTCTGTCTCAAAAAAAATTCATCCATGTTATTGCGTGTATTTGTTGTTTGTTTCATTTCACTGCTGCATAGCATTCCATCGTATAGATTAACCAATGTTTGTTTACCCATTTACCAGTTGAAGGACATCTGGATTCTTTCCAGTTAGGCAATTATGAACAAAGTTGATGGAAACATCCACAAACAAGATTTTCTGTGAACAGAAGTTTTCATTTCACTTGGGTAAATATCCAGGAGGGGAATGTTGGGTCCTGCCTCAGCCTCCTGAGTAGATGGGACTACAGGTATGCACCACCATGCCCAGCTATTTTTTGTATCTTTTTAGAGATGGGGTAAGCTTCATAACAAACTGCCAAACTCTTTTCTAAAGTGGCTGTACCATTTTGTATTCCAGCAGCAATGCTGAGCGTTCCAATTGTTCCACATCCTTGTCAGCATTTGGTATTGTCAGATTTGTTTTGTTTTAATCCATTCTAGTAGGTACCTAGTATGTCTCATGGTAGTTTTGATTTACATTTCTATAATAACTAGTGCTGTTGAGTATATTTCATGAGCTTATTTTCTATCCATACATGTTGGGTGATATGTCCATTAAAATATTTTGCCTGTTTTTTACAGAATTTTTTTTGTTCATTGAGGTTTGAGAATTCTTACATGATCTGGACATAAGTCTTTTAGGAGATGTGTGTTTTGCAAATACTTTCTCCCAATCTGTAGCTTATTTTTTATTTTCTTAACTGTCTTTTGAACAGAAGCATCTCTTAATTTTGATAAAATCCAATTTATTGCTTTTCTTTTCTGGAGTGTGGTCTTGGTGTCAGATTTAAAAAAAATTTACCTAACCCAAGGCCACAAAGATATTCTCCTATGTTTTCTAGAAATTTTATAGTTTTAAGCTTTACACTTAGGCTTATGGTCCCTTTTGAGTTCATTTTTGTATAACGTGTAAAATATGAGTCATAGTTTATTTTGGGCATATGAATATCCAAACATTCCAGCATCCTTTGTTGAAAAGACTATTCTTTCTCCACTGAGTTGCCTTTATACCTTTGTAAAAAAAAAAATCGACCATATATATGAAGTTCCATTCTATTTCACTGATCTCTTTGTCTATCTTTGTGCCAATATCATTGTGTCTTTATTACTGTAGCTTTACAATAATTTTTGAAATCCAATAGTGATACTTTCCAACTTCGTTCTTCTTTTGCAAAGTAGTTTTGACTATCCTAGTCATTTTACTTTTCAATAAACTGTACATTTTGGAATCATCTTGTCAATTTCTATAGCTTACAAGACCCAAATCCTTGTTCCCTTAATTATTTGTGTGCCCTTGAGCAAGTTATTTAACTCTTTTGTGTTCCTGTTTCTTCACTTACAAATTGGAATGATGATAATGATAATGATGACTACTCATTTAGTTGTTTTAAATTTAAGTTAAGTGGCATAGTCCAAATAAACTGTGTCCA